GGGAGAGTGCGGGGTATGTCTATCGCCATCTCCAACAGGGAAGGAAACCATGGTTGTGACGGCCATAATGGCACCACGAGCACTGCCGTTCCCGTCTGTCGCCGTAGTTGTAGTAGGCAGCGGGGAATCAATGCAAAGGGAGGAAACGCGTAGTTCCTTTTGGAGGACCAGTCTTGGGTAAAGGCATCTGTTGCCAGTGCTGCCGGGTCCGGTTTCCAACTGAAAAATCTGGGAAGTTGATTGTTCAAACGGGAGGCGAACAAGTCCTTGTCCAGAGGACTCCATAGAGACTGGATGTCTTGGAAGACCCTGGGTTCCAGGTGCCAGTCGCTGGAATCTCTGAGGTGCCTTGAGTACCAATCCGCCGTGGTATTGCAGAGGCCCGGAATGTATTCCGCTGTGACTGAAATGCCGTGTGCCAGGCAAAACTGTCAAAAGTCTCGTGCCAAATTCGCCAGGACCTTCGATTTCGTGGCGCCCAAGTGATTTATATAACGGACTGCCGATACATTGTCCATCCTTAAAAGGATGGCACATTGGGCTTGAGTCGGTGAAAAACTGCGGACTGCAAAAGAACCGGCTAGGAGTTCTAGGCAATTGATGTGAAGCGTCGATTCCACTTCGGACCATCTGCCACCGGTAGAGACATTGCCACAGCGTGCGCCCCAACCGTGCAAGCTCGCATCGGATTCTATTATTATATCTGGTTCGGTACCGAAAATGGCCCGGCCATTCCAGGCGTCCATATGGGAGAGCCACCATCTGAGTTCTGTTTTTGCTTCTGTGTCCAGAGCGATCATGTCCGTGTATGAGGTCCCGTCTCTCAAATGGGAGGCTTGCAGGCGCTGTAGCGCTCGATAGTGTAGAGGGCCCGGGAAGATGGCCTGTATGGAGGCCGCCAAGAAGCCGATCACTCTCGCCAATTGTTTTAGGGAGATCAGGGGGGTCGTCAGAGTGCGTTTGATCTCCTTCTTTATGGTGGTCAATTTCGCCGCCGGTAAGTGTAGGGTCTGTAGAGTAGAGTCCACTACGAGGCCCAAAAACTCTATAAAAACTCTGCCGTGTAGGGGTCATGATGGATTTTTTCCAATTGATAAGGAAACCCAAATTTTGCAAAAGATTCTGAGTCCATGACAGATGAGTCTCGAGAATGTGGTTGGAACGACCCATGATGAGGATGTCGTCCAAGTAGATTATGAGACGAACCCCTCGACTTCGAAGTAGAGCCACCACGGGCTTCATGAGTTTGGTGAAGCACCATGGGGCTGAGGACAGTCCGAATGGGAGGCAGGTGAATCTCCATTTCCTTCCTTGCCATATGAATTGTAGGAAGTCTTGGTGCTGACGTGCGATTGGTATCGTGAGATAGGCGTCCTGCAGGTCCAACTTGACCATCCAGTCCAACGGCTGGAGGAGATCTCGGAGGCAGTGTATGCCCTCCATTTTGAAATGGTTGTAGGCAACAAAAGTGTTGAGTTGTTTCAAGTTGATCACTGGGCGGACGCCGCAGCCTTTTTTGGCAACTAAGAATAGGTTGCTTACGTACCCTGGGGTAGTCATAGGGATCTCTAAGATGGCCCGTTTTGGTGTCAATTCCAAAACCTCCTTGGTTACAAGGGAGGCGTCTTGGTGGGAAAACAGCATTCCCCGTGGTGGGGAGAGTTGTACCGGGAGGGATATGAACTCTAAGGTGTACCCTCTTACCGTGTTCAATACCCAGGCATCTGATGAGATGTGTGACCATGCATGGGAAAAATGTTGGAGTCTGCCCCCCACTGCCCATCGGGAAGAAGGAAATAGGAGAGCATTTACCATAAGGTCGTCTGCCTGGGCGGGAGCCACGTGGTCCACGAGCAACCCATGGTCGCCCACGTTGTGGGAAGACGACCGGGGTGTTGCGGTGCTCCGTGAAGGAGGCGTGTCCAGTGTAGGAGCCTCGGCTCTGTCGGAATGAACCCCTATTGACACGGCCGGACAGACGGCTCCTGGCTCTTCCGGCCCCACCAAAAACCTTAGGTTGGAAAATCTTGCGCATGTTCGATTGCACCTTGTCTAGGGCAGCGAAAGTATGGACAAAGGAGCCAAGCTCCTTGACAAAATTGTCTCCGAACAGGAGACCACGGGCCTGGGCGCCCGGTTCGGTTATAGCCACGTTCACCAGTTTGGGTTCTATCTTTAATAAGATCGCTTTGCGACGCTCTGTGGCCACCGCACAGTTGGCATTACCAATCAGACAAATCACCCTTTGTATCCAACCACTTATGGCGGAACAATCTAACTCTTGGTCGCTTTCAACCATATCAAAATTTTTTGTTGCCGGGCCCAATATATCTAATATCTTGTCCTGGCAATTGCGCAGGGAGAAATCAAGGCCCTTATTAGGCTTCCAGCCAGTCTTGCCCAAGAATTGAATGATTTTTGGGTCAACTGCAGGTGTTCTGCAGGCCTCGTCAGAGACAGTGGGACGTGGGCATTCTGCCGTCAGCTTGTTACGTGTTACCTTATTTAAAGGTTTGCGAGTCCGCGATGCAACGTATTTGGCCACATGGGCCGAAGGGGACCAGTCCGCTGACCTTGGATGACGCAGGTCATGGGGGTCGAACAGAGGTTCCCCGTAGGGGTCAACTAATCTGGTTGCATCGTCTGGGACCTTAAGCTCCATGTCATACGATTCAGATGGAGGCGTAATATGTTCTCTGGGGTCATGGTCGTCGACCACACCATCTGACTTGGGATCTGATGGATCCTCCGAATCCATATCGGTCTCCTCTTCAATCTCGCTGAGATCTCAGATTCTAGTTGGGCTTTTGCCCGTTTCCATAACCTAGCCGATTTTGCCCGGCTAGTGGCTCTTTTGCGCGGTGGTATATTAGACGCGCCATCTGTGACAGGTGTGTAGCTGTCCATCTGTGAGATTGAAGAGTGTTTTGTTTTTGCAGTGGCCTTGTGGCCAGTGTGAGCTTGTGAAGGGGTTATTGCAGGCAAAGCCTGGGTAGTGATCGGCTGGGTCGATTTTTGTGCCCCAAGTAGAGCATGTGTAATAGTCTGTGAGATAGATTCAGACATCAGCCCCATGGCTGATGTGAGGGCCTTAGTCACAACATGAGACATGGTGTTGTCAATCATGTACTGCATATCAGCAGTAGGATCAAAATCAGCGGGGATAGTCGCCCCAATCTCAGGTACCCCTGTGGGTGTTTTAACAGACCCTAAATTGGTGATAAGAGACCCAGGAGGGGAGGGTATATCTTTGTCCCCAGGCATATTGTGTGTATAACACTGGCACCACAAATAATTGTACTGAGCGGACCTAAAATGGGTTGATTAACCCAAAAAGAAAAGGGATAATATACCTTTATGAGAAAAACAAAGTACTCACAAAAAACAATTACAGTCACAAAAGAAAGGGTGAGGAGGGGGCAAGGAGCCGTCCGACCGCCACTGTAGCTTTAACCCAACTCCGAGGTCCGGTAGTTGGGGGTGGAGCTACATGCCGAGCGCGGGAAACAAGTAAAATGGCCGCCGCGAGCGGTACAGAAGAGAAGAAATTGGTAAGCTATGCTCGCGAGCAGGGAGCCGGCATCCGAGCTCAGTGAGCTCTGCGGGTGGCGGCCGGTCACGGCGGGTAAGAAGAAAGGGGAGGGGGGGGCGCGAAGCGCCGGATGCGGCTCCAGCCGACGTCCCCGAACCCCTGTAAATTAGGTTCTGAGGAGGCGACCGGCTGGAGCGGGGCCTTAAAGGGGCGCAGAGGCCATGAAAACTCAAGGAAGGTAATAAAGGCAAACTAATAAAATCAATTAAGGCATCAAATGAAAGGATGTACTACCAAAATATACTATAATATAATATAATACAATATAATATAATGCAATATAATAGAATACAATATAATATATATTACAATATAATATAATATATAATATAATATATAATATAATAATATAATATAATATAATATAAAGTAATCCCACAGTTAAGGAGCCTGAGGGATCAGATATACTTAACTGAGGGAGCAGCAAATAAAGAGGAACAGGATTGGTTGACAGAGCCTATTATGCTGGAGAAGTGGATCCTGATTGGCTGTTCCTGTTACTGGGAAGAATACACCTGAGACTGTTAATGTTATCATTGGTTATGTTTATAAAGTTTTTTTCTTTGCTGCTGAGGGAAATAAAGGAAGAGTGCAGCATAATAGGAGCCTCCGTGTCATTAATAAAATTAGTGATTGATAGAGTGATTGGAACTGGGGATGAGGAGGTCTGGATTGGGCTGGAGGTGATTTGATTAGGATTAGATAGTGTAATTTACAGATTTTACTATTAACATGATGTAAAGTCATGATTTTATTAATGACACAGAGGCGAGTATTATGCTGCACTCTTGATTTCCCTCAGCAGCAAAGAAAAAGAACATTAAATCAGTATAAAAAAAGAAACCAGTAAATAACATGAGGTATATCTTCCTAGCAACAGGAACAGCCAATCAGCATCCTCTCCATAGCATAATAGGTGGTGTCCAGTATAATACTTCCTCTTACTTGCCACGAACAAGGACAACAAATCCAAACAGAAAAGGAGGCTCCAATAAGAGGGTGTGCAAGCCTTAACCTGGATCTCGAAGTCAAGCTGGAAGAAAGAGACCAATTTGCGGCATTCTGCGTGGCCAACTTAACAGATCACTCTCTGGATCCAACGGTGTCGCAATCTAATTCTAGATCATCCTTTACTGCTTCTAAGATTTTGGCTGTTGGGCCCAAGATGTCCACAATTTTATCTTGAGAGTATTACAAGGAAAAATCTAATCCTTTAGTAGGCTTCCATCCTGTCTTACTCAGAAATTGAATAATCTTCGGATCGACTGACACGCGACATCAAGGACTGTAGGTCGTGGGCATTCAGCCAGCAATTTATTTCACGTTGCCTTCTCAAAAGGCTTGCGTACTCTGGATGCAATAAACTTTGCTACATGGTACAAGGGAGAACACTGGGTGACGTAGGTCATCAGGTTTCAAATAGGGGTTCATATTGAGGGTCCAAGATCCTATCGGCATCCCCTGAGGCTGCATGATCTACAACAATCTTTGTAGGTTTAATGGGAAGTATAGCCCGCGTGCAATTAGCCTCCTCTCCATCAGTTATTACATAATTAGGATCAGAAAGATCCTCTGAATCCTCCATATAGGACTCAGGGAACTCCTCAATATTACTGGGCTCAGACTCTGAGTCCAGTTGGTCTTTTGCCCTTTTCCAAAGTGTAGCCGATTTTTCCCGGCTAGTGGCTCTTTTACATGGTGGTAAATTAATTGCGCCAGGTATCGTACTGTCCATCTCTGTTGTTTTGGAGGAGTGTTTAGCCTTATATGAGGCCTTGCATTCCAGGCTGAGGCGGAGCTGGTGCGAGTACAGGTACTGCTGCTTGAGTAGTCAATCTATATGCCTGGAGAGGCTTCTAAAGTAATCTGCATGGGTGCTGTAGACCCAGAAGGCACAGAAAGATCCTGTCAGACTGCATCATAACTAAAAAAGATAAGCCTAAGGGAATGAATAAAGTAAAATAATACCTAAAGGAAAGGGTTAAAGCAGCACGGTCATGCCAAACTTACCTTTCCCCAATCGATTCCTCTTCTCTCCATCTGTCAGGATCTGTCCTTCGTTTATTCCTGTCTGCTCTAGTTTTCTTTAAAACATAAGACAAAATAGGGACTACTTTGTCTTATGGAGGTTTCCTACGCCAAAGTGTGCTTAGTTTCCGGTGATCAAAGCAATTTTCCCACAATTCTCACCTTTGATCCGTGATCTCGTGACGCTTCTGGTCAGTATTCCCAAATGTCCTGTCACTTAGAACACCGGCAAATCTACAGAATTTCGTAGTTTGTTCATTCATGTTAGGACGCATTTCGGGACTTTTGTTGTTTAAAAATTCCTTTCTATTGAATTAAATTCTGATCCTGTTTTTTCCACGGCTGCATCTGGCAGCCGCTTAGTAGATAGCTCCCTAATTCCTACAGTATCAGGGAGTTCTCTACCAAAAGACTTAAATTGGTCTTTCAAACAAATTTACTAATACTAAGATTAGCTATACTGCGAGTAGGGGCATGTCTAGTAAACAGAAAAAAAAAAAAACACTACTGTCCCCCCTCCCGAGCCGCACGAGTGGGGGCTATTACACTGAACAAACTTATAGCTCCCCCCACCCCGCTAGACATGCACCTACTCACGGTATAGCGAGTAGGGGCAGAATTTACTAATACTAAGTAATCTTTATTTAGTATTCGTAAATTTGGCTGAAAGACCAATTAAGGTCTTTCAGCCTTTTGGTAGATAGCTCCCTGATACCGTGGGAATTTGGGAGTTATCTACTAAGCGACTGCAAGATGCAGCTGCACACGAATAGGATCGGAGTTTCATTCATATTAATGAAATTCCAATACGAACATAGTCCCGAAATGAGTCCTAAAATCATGAATGAACAAACTGTTCTCGTTCTGTTAGGACTAAATTCGGTAGTTTTGCTGGCATTCTGTCTAAGTGACAGGATGTTCGGGAATACTGACAGGAAGCATCGCGAGAACACAGATCAAAGGTGAGAATTGTGGGGAAATTGCTTTGATCACTTTGCTCCTCCGCTGGTCAAGTGTAGGAAACCTCCATAAGCCAAAGTAGTCCCTACTTTGTCTTAGGTTTTCTAGAAAACTAGAGCAGACAGGAAGAAATGAAGAATAGATCCATGGGTCCCAGTGTTACTTAACTGAGGGAGCATCAAAGAAAGAGGATGCTTATTGGCTGTTCATGTTATTTACTGTTTTTTTTTTATATATATATATATATACTGGTTTAATGTTATTTTTCTTTTGTGCTGAGGAAAATAAAGAAAGAGTGCAGCATAATACTCGCCTCCATGTCTTCATAAAATTGTGGCTGGATGTTGAGGATGAGATTAGAACTAGAAAATTCTATTGGGGTTGCGAGTGATGTGCTTATAGATATGGTGTAATCGGACGGGAGTGAGGATTTATAGGTAAGGTACTAAGAGTGATGAAACTAGGGATGGTAATCTGCTGGGATAATAGGAAGTTGGGGTTGATGAGGGGAATTATATTACAGCCTAGTGAAACCTCCACTGGCCACTCCTCAAATGGCTGCAAGAGGTGCTTCCTGGGGCAGTGCTGCACAGTGCATGGAGACACTGAACTTTCCTCATGGAGATGCATTGACTTGTGCTGGCTCTGCATCCGATGTGCCCCAAGGATTGTGAATGGCTTTTGATCAACACTTCTAAAGTCAGCTAAGCAGGCAGATCCTGCAGAGCCAGACGCAGCACACTGGAGTTAAGGAAAGATTATACCAGGGGTAGTCAACCTTTTTCTATCTACCACCCACTACTGCATCTTTCTTGATGGAAAAATTTCCTTACCACCCACCAGCTTTCGCGCAAGTGCAGAATATTTATTAGAAAGGAGGGTGTTAAAAAAAACAAAACAAAAAAAAAATGTACATACATTTATCTTTTTACTTCTACTTTATGCATGTTTATAATGTTTTTAACTTTATAAAGTTTAATGAGAAAAAGTAAATGGAGAGCTGGTGTGGATCTGGCCCTGGGGTCCAGTGGTGCTTCACTTCGGCAGGCGGCAGAGTTCTAATCCGAGGCGCGAGGGAGCGCTAACCTCTCTGCTCTGTTCCCTCGCGGGCTGTTTACTGATGCCGGGAGCCAGCCCAAAAGTTGAAATCCTCCAAAAAAATAAAATATTTTTTTTTTTTTTTTTAAATCCCTATCGTGGACCCTGAAAACCGCCGCCAAAATCCCTATCGCCCACCTGGAATCCTGAAACGCCCACTAGTGGGCGGTAGGGACCAGGTTGACGACCCATGGATTATACTATATCTAGGGAGGGCAAAGGGGTTAGATGGTGGCTTCAATGCTATAGGGTCAAGAATACAGGTTTGTGTTCCTGAACCTATAGTGTTCCTTTAAAATTTTGTTTGTGCTCTGGGCGGCACACAAAGCAGTCATAAGAGGCAAGCTAATCGCAGAAGCTACAAGACACAAAAAGCTAAAACTAAAGGAACTCGAGGCCCATCTAATCTCCCTTAGGACCCTTGATGCTCAACATAAGCAACACCCCACCCCAACACTATCAGCCCAAATAAAAACCCACCAACAAGCCATCAAATCATATATGACCAAAAACTCACTAAAAGCCCTCCAGTGGAGTAAACAACTCTTTTATGCGAAATCAAATAAGGCAGACACCCTCCTAGCTACAAACTCCGCCAAAAATCACAAACTAAACGGATTACTGAAATAAAATCCCCGGGGGGCAACACTCACAAAGACCCCAACGACATAGCATCAATATTCTCCAACTACTTCAGATCACTCTATGACCACAATCCGGACCCCTCTCCAACCCTGAAACAAGACATCGAACTATACCTCCAAAACATCCCCCTCCCATCCCTAACAGACACTGCAATAGCAACACTGTTAGCCCCCTTCACGACAGAAGAAATCGCCAGCACATTAAAAACAATCAAACCAAACAAATGCCCTGGACCAGATGGCTTCACAGGCCTATACTATAAGACATACGCGAATGTTCTCATACCCCACCTCACAGCTCTAGGGAACTCACTACTACAGGGGGACCCACTCCCAAAGGAGATGCTCAAAACAAACATCTGCCTCATACCGAAACCCGACAAAACACATCTAGACCCAGGCCACTACCGACCCATATCCCTACTTAACATGGACACAAAGATAATCACAAAAACTTTAGCTAACCGAATACAACCCCTCCTCCCAAAACTAATACACCCCGACCAGGGCTTCATACCCACAAGACAAGCAGGAGACAACACAAGACGTATGATAGATCTAATATGGGTAGCCCAAAGTAGGAAAATCCCAACCCTTCTTTTATCAATGGATGCGGAAAAGGCATTTGATCGCCTATTATGGCCATTCTTATTTGCCACCCTCCAAAAATTCAAATTCCCACCACCCATTCTCCAAGCCTTACAGACCCTTTATGCCCAACCAACGGCCACACTCCTCATACCAAAACGCCAAACACCCAGAATTCACAATTAAAAATGGGACGAGACAGGGCTGCCCACTCTCCCCACTCCTATTCGCTCTATCCCTCGAACCCCTCCTCCAAAACATACGTAGGGAACAAGAAATCCAAGGTATCAAGGTCAGGAACGAAGAATACAAAATAGCAGCCTATGCGGACGATATCCTACTCACAATCACAGACCCCACCCAATCCCTCCCACCCTTACTGACACTTCTACAAAAATACGCAACCCTATCGGGATACAAACTAAACCTAGAAAAAACGGAAGCCCTCCCGATAGGGATACCACAACCAGCTCTCGAACACATACAATTGACCCACCCATTTAGATACAACTTGCAAAGCATTCACTACCTAGGTACGCACCTCCCAGCAGACCTCGATAAAACCTACGCCCTGAACTACACCCCATTACTCCAACAATCACACCTAGACCTACAAACATGGGGCCCCATGTCCATATCGTGGCTAGGGCGTATAGCCTCCATAAAAATGAACCAACTCCCACAATTCCTATACTTATTTCAAACCCTACCCATATCTAAACATGATTTTAAAACACTCCAAACTAACATAGACAAATTCATCTGGTCCAACAAAAAGCCACGTATCAAGAGAACCACAATGTATAAAACCAACAGAACCGGAGACCTTGGCCTCCCAAACTTCTACCACTACTACCAGGCGGCCCAACTAGCCCAGATACAAAACCTACATGCACAACCGGGATTCAAACTTTGGGTAGACCTGGAACATGACCACCTGGGGCGAGACCACACCTCACTACTCTTTTGGGTGCCCAAGAAAGTCAGACCACCAACTCCGCGTACAACCCCAGCCCTTACAACATCCTTTCACATCTGGGACACCACAACCTCTAAGTACCCCATAATTAACAAACCATCACCTCTCACACCCATTCTGAGAAACAATCAATTCCCCCCAGGCCTCTCGCCTCGAGACTTCGCGAGAAACGAGGATAAAGGGTTATACAGATTCCTCCACTTCTTCCAAGACCAACAACTCTGACCCTTCCAAGACCTGCCCAACCAGACCCCACTAAACACATTTGACCACTTTCGATACCTCCAAATACGCAGCTTCCTCAATGAGCCACACAACAAGGCAGCTGCCACCGCTAGGCCAACCCAATTTGAAAAAACATGCCTGCATGCACCCATACAAAAAGGGACAAATCTCCACCATATACCTCCTCCTAAATGCCAATTCCCCAGAAGACACCCTCGCATACACGAAGGCATGGGAAAAAGACATAGGCCCCCCAGATGACCCATCAGATTGGTCGGACATATGGCAGGCTACGGCCTCACTCACCATATGTGTGAATCACAAGGAACAGGCATACAAGACCCTACTCAGGTGGTACCTCATACCCCTGAGAATGAGACAGATGGGCAGGGCAACCACGGACTCATGCTGGAAGGGATGCGGGCAAAAGGGCACTTACATCCACCTTTGGTGGGAATGCCCACAGACCTCACAAATATGGGAAAGAGTGTCCACACTAGCATCCAACATACCTAATATGGACATACCCAAGGACCACTGGGTGTGGCTACTTTCCAAACCACACCCCCCTTACCAGAGCCCAGAACAAACTGATAGCAAGAATGGCACTAGCAACTAGACGCACGATAGCGGAATAATGGGGAAACCAAACCACACCCCAACTAGCCACTATGATCAGGAAAATGAATGAAGCCATGCAAATGGACAAACTATCGGCACTGCTACATGACACAACACAATACTAGCATAAGATATGGGATCCATCGATCCAACACCCCCTACCGCTTAACTAAAAGGAGGGAACAGAGGACTGTGACAGTCCCCCCCAAGCATACCCCCCCCCCCCACAACAAATAAACAACAACAAAAAAAATACATAGCGAATAGCCCTGACTGGAAACCCACCTCCCCCCAACCTGGCTCACCCCCTCCACCACATCAATCTCCCCCTTACCCCCCAACCCACCCCCATACACCAGGCCATACGAAAGACCACCCAAGCTCACTTAAACACCACATCAAAACATAGCAAAGACCACCATACCCCAACTACACGACCTAAAACCCCAACCCAACCCAGACTCACCTCCAGGAGCAAACTCCAACACCCCCAAAGCCAAACAAGAAGACAAGACAAAAAAACTGGACACACCGAGAAACAACTAACCCACAACACGTATACACAACACCCCACAGACATTGACCAGGAAGGGCGGAGGGCCACACGAGATGTAGACCATTCTGGTCCTGATGTAAACAAAAGTACAATTTCTGTAAATAAGTTATGTGACTTACAATGTATTAAGCTACCAAACTCAAATGTAACCACAATGTTTGCTACCCCACCCCTTATCTTTATTCTGTACCCCAACTTCTTTAAAATACTGAAAACCACCAAAATAAAGAATTTACAAAAAAAAAAAAATTGTTTGTGACAGTTTGAATCAAATTTCCTTTAATCCACACCCAAACGAATTGATATGTGCTGGATTTACCTGTGATGTCAAACTGGTGAATCCTGGATGGATCGATTTGATTTGGAAGAACCATCCCAAATGAATTTTTGCACAGGTCTAGTAATTACAGCAAAGGTTATAGGAGGGTTAAGGGATAGGGGAAGTAACAGATTGTGATTATGGGACTTTGTACGGAGGTTTTGCGTGAGGGATTAATAAATCTATAGCACTGCAGAAGATAGACTTTTTATACCTGCAGTTTCCTGCCTTTTATTTTTTGTGGATGTGTATCCACATGCATGGATATGCAGACAAATGTGTCTTAGAAAGTTACACCCATGATCAGAAATCTTACATTTATTTTGCTATTTTGCCTGAAAAGGTACATTAGTTAGTTCCTTATAACCGCTTTCTTCCATATCACAAAATGCTTGTTCACAGAGACCTCTTACTATTCACCAACAGCAATAACTTTGGCAGAAATCACAACTTCAACTCCAGCCTTTTGTAACTACATGAGTCGCTCTGATTTTAAAATTAGCATATATGGATTTTTTATTTTTATTTTTTTACACAATACATGTAGTTACAAATCATTGTTTGAAATAAATGCAGGTTTTTAGAAAGAGAAACAAAATCCATAAAATGTATTGTTTCTTGAAGTAGTTCATGGTTGTTTTGTACAAACATCATCATCTATCTGATGGCGTGGATATGAAAGCTAAACCGATAAGATAGACACATTGTTTTATAGAAAAAGTAAAATATAAGTTTATTAAAAGTGTAACAGATTACATATTTTACTGTAAAGGTAAAGCAAAGTAATTATGTTACATATTCTTTAGAAACTATACATAGACACATTTTGATACAAAATCCTCTTAATCATGATCTGAAAATGTCAACCTAATCATAGCCATCATTTCTTTAACACCATAAAAATACTGCAGCATCAAACTGATCACACAAGAATGGTCATCGTAAAAAAAACAAATACTTCCTCTAAAAAAAAAAAAAAAACATTATGCAAAAAAGTCATTCAAATTAATACCTTTAACAGTTATAAGACGTAAAATCTTTAGTGACTGATACTTCAAATATATACCCTGCCTGAAAGATAACATTTATTACAAACATTTCTTCAGAACTAGGAGAGAATTTAAATAAAATTAATTTCTTTTAATAACATGCAGTTTTTTAAAACTAGTCTTTGCACCTCTTGTTGCCAAATATTTCAGGCAGGTCAGGTTGCTAAAATATTGTACTGGAAATAATATTGTGATGAATTTTGCAGATTAAGGAACTTCTTATATAAAACTATGTTAAAAAGGCAATTCAAGCACCATAACTAGTACGCAAGCTGCAGAAGTTATGGTAACACAAGTCCCCAAGCACCTCCTGTGCTAAAACAAAAGTTCTCATACAGTTGTACAAATAATCAATTTTGTGCATCTTGCCGCTTCATTCAGTAGGTGAGAATGTAAGTTACAAGTAACCAGTTAAAGAAATTTTATTTTACACCATTATAAATTACATTAATAAAGTTATGGTGCCCAGAGGTCCCTGGCGCTTTCTTACCTGAAAGGGGTTAAACTGTTCTTGAACACTTTAACCCCAAAGGTTGCTCTCCAGTGCTAGATCTCCCAGTGGCATCCAAGTTGCTCCAATGCAGTTTCATTTTTTTACTACTACTAATAGTACTAATTGACTTATAGAGTTAGCTGACCACTCTAAGCCAGTCTACATTGGAGAAACTCCGGCTGCTGGGGACCAGGAGATCAGGTGCTGGAGAGAAACCTTTGCGGTTAAATGTTCAAGAATGGTTTAGCCCCTTCAGGTAAGGAAGTGCCAGGAACGTCTGGGCACCATAACTAATCTGAATAAAGCAGACATTATATAGTCTTAGCAATAATCGAGAGCCTGGAAGGACTTAAACTGTCCAGAGGATCCCCCAGACATCATACTGTTCAAAAATGGCTTGACTACTCACTGTGAAACAGTGCCAGGGAACTTGTGACAATATAACCACTACAGAAGACTGTAGTGATTGCATTAGAGTGTTTCTTTCTAATATTTTAGTTTACTGTTCCTTTAACTTTAATACGCAGGTTTATGCACTAACCCAGAATTGTCAGGATTTCACTAGAGAAACACATTTATCCACACTAAAGGTGACCAAAAAAGTGTGATAAATAGGACCATAGCTGAACAGAGAAATTTCTTTATAAGCATTCCCTTTGATATTAAGACAGGCCGTTTCTGAACTTGAAGGAATCTTGGAGTGCAGATACGAATATTTCTAACATGCCTGAAATTCCTACAACACTGAAATCTTGCATAACAGTCAAATCAAAATTTCAATATTTTCTACTGTTTACCAGGAAAAGCAACAGTGGTTGAGGATTGTAAAGCAGCGCTGGGTTAATTTCCTTTTAACTATATAGATACTGCAGTATTTTATCTTCATTTCCTCATTCTCTTTCGCCAGATCAATATTTCAGACTGGATGCCTCCTCTTGGCCTGACTAACTTTTCATAAACGTAACAACTTAACATTCTTGTATAAACGTTGGTTGCAGCACAGCGTAACAGCTCCCAACAGGAGGTGGAGTTATAAAAAAGTGGATAGGTACTGAAACTGTTAAAAAAAAAAAATTAAAAATGCTACGTTTAAAAAAAAAAAATAAAAAAAATCCTAATGTGGAATCTATATTATATATATATAATTCTGCAGTGCTATAGATTTATATATATATATATATATATATATATATATATCGCATCAACAATTACTTAACACTTCCCTGGTACTTAAGTACATTTTTATGAACAAAGAATTAACATTTATAAGGCTACCGTAAAGAGCTAGTGTATTAAAAATCTGCTGAACCCAAATCTTAAGAACATGACAGCGCCCTTTGGAAAATAATTCATAAACCCCAAAATCCTAAATACTTGGGGGAATAATTGATGAGAGTATTAGAAAATATGAATCTAGATTGTTCAGTGTTGGGAAAACATACATATTAACATATCTAAATGTGTTAAAGAACACATTTCAAAAATCTAAATTATACAGTTACAAGATTGCCGTACCAAACATACATAGCTAAGCAAAATCCTAAAACCAAGCAAGAGAGAAATTTAAGGGACATTTATATTGTATATACTCCTTGCAAGTAAATATAGGGGGTTTCTCTTAACAGAAAATGGAAAATCTGCTTAATAGCTATCTACAGTACCCAGTGTAGCATTTAAGGGACAATGTTGGTAGCATAGCCATCTATTGAAGTGGTTATTATGCCTCCAGTCCATGGAAGCAGTTGCTCACAGTTTTACAGATGCTCAGCCTTGCCTCCATTGACAAAATTGTGGGGGAGGAGCTATGTTCTGCTTCACGCCATACCTGTGTAATGGGCAGTAATAGGAGTCTAAGCGGAGCGCTCTCCGCAAAATCAATGCCCCAATCCCTGGTATGAATTCGATTTGAGAATTAGTCGAGAGTATAGCTCCATCTCTGCCATATTAGTGGAGGCCAGGTGGCAGATTGCTAGAGACTCATCTCTACTAAAAGGTGAGCAAACCATTCAGCAGTGATGCGATACCCAGCACTCCCACATACTCCAGGCACCATAACCACTTCAATTAGTTGAAGTGGTTATGGTGCCTACAGTGTTCCCTTTATCTTGCTATAACAGTAAGCGTATTGCCACTTTCCTGTATTAAACCCTACATATTCTGTACCTAGTACCTTTCAGTTGTTCTTTGAGTGAATAAAGACTAAACAATCAGCTCTATCATTGCACTGAGAACCCTCTATTGACAATGATGATTTATTTAAAGGAAGGAGACACAGACTGATTTATTGGATTAAAATCAAGAAAGAGAGTAAGCGCTAAAATAACAATAAGGCTGCAACCCTTAAAGGGAATCCCTCAAAAACCCTTCAAATACAAGAAGAATAAAAACAATCAAAGATAAAGGTTGCGCCAAAATAGACCAATAAAATATAATATAAAATGTAATAGGATGGTATTAAGGTATAAAAGTCTTAGCTGAACAGATCTTCTTTAGATCAGATAGTCTTTAAAGTGCTTGTTCAGGAACAATGTCCTCGCTGTCCTTCCCCAAGGGGATCCGGTATTATGAAAAGATAAAACAGATTAAAAAAAAACAAATAGCGTAGTATGTCCAATATTGTACAGCTGATAATAAAAGAAGATGGTAATGCACTCACATGTATTAGAACTATAGCTAGCTCTAATATGAAAAGTGTACAGCGGTATAATCCCCGCTTATGGGATATGGTGCAGGCCTCTTCTTGCAAAGGTTTGTTCAACACTTAAAACAGAGAGAGACGACCAATAGTGCTCACTGGATAAAACAGTGTAAATAATCTTCAATTATTCCATATTGAGGAATCCTTGTTGGCGAAACGCGCTTGTGGATATTTATACTGTGTATTTTATTCTATTAAAGATTTTTTGGTCACCTTTTATTGTGCCAATTTTCTTTTAATACACTTTATATATTTTTATCATTTTTACCTGGCATTTTATCATTCTGGACTCCAAGTAATCCTGAGGTGGGGATCATACCACCAACGCTGTTGTCAAGGAGCAGTCTGTCTGCTCCACTCTTGTGAGTACCTTCTTATGTATTTTATTTACACGGTTTTATCCAGTGAGCACTATTGGTCGTCTCTCTCTGTTTTATTTACAAGAAGAGGCCTGCACCATATCCCATAGGCGGGGATTATACCGCTGTACGCTTTTCATACTAGAGCTAACTATAGCTCTAATACATGTGAGTGCATTACCATCTTCTTTTATCAGCTGTACCATATTGGACATACTACGCTATTTGTTTTTTTTAAATCTGTTTTATCTTTTCATAATACCGGATGCCCTTGGGGAAGGACAGCGAGGACATTGTTCCTGAACAAGCACTTTAAAGACTATCTGATCTAAAGAAGATCTGTTCAGCTAAGACTTTTATACCTTATACCCATCCTATTGCATTTTATATTATATTTTATTGGTCTATTTTGGCGCAACCTTTATCTTTGTTTGTTTTTATTCTTGATTTATCTGATTACCTAGAAGACCTGCACTAGTGGAAGACACCAATTCAGACCTTGATGAAAGGTGGTTTGTATGTTTGAGTCATGGCCCATGCTGACAACTTGGATCTATTTCTTTGACACAAAACATCTCCTTTTATATGCTCCATCTGAATAGTACTCCAATTCAAAAAGAATAACAAAACCAATGCATTTTCAAATACAAGAAACTAAGAAATGCCACTCATTTATCTAAAAAAAAAAAAAAGTGTAAAAATAACATTTCCCAACATTTTTCCTAAAGCACTTTTTGGGACTAGCAACAATAGCTATATCCACCTCATAAAGTGAACAATTACATGGTATCACGTTAAAGGCAATACAATTGTATCTATACATGTGCTTTTTTAAAACTATTAGCAAATATGTAGTTTCAATTTTAGTAAGCCTTTGCTTTAATTATTTTGGAATAGAATTTAAAAGAAAAAATATGGCCAAAAAAGATGCACGCATGTCTTCTACAGTCTTAAGTGTGCAATACCACAATCCCTGGCGTACAGGAGGTAGGGGAGAAGAAAATATATGAGAGTGGGGGGTGGGGGGGAAGGGGGGAGAGAATAAATCCCAAAATATCTAAAAATGTGCATTCATTATATTCAATATTTATATAAATGGTATACTTCACTGAACCACTAAAATCATTTATACAAAACAGAGGAAACATTAAAGAACAGTTTGTACATCATTAAGCAAATTGCACGTTTATAAGACCATTTTAATCCGGTCTCAGATGCCTTCTAACTTCCAGCTATTTCCCTGACAAAAAGACAAAGATGTACTACTTTGCAACATGTGTTATAACTCAGGTGGAAGGGAATAAGTTATATGAAATGGGAAATAAAATACAGTTGCTATACATTGTCCAAGGAGAAAGTCCTCAAAACATGCAGTTAATACATTTGACAGTTTTGCTGCCGTAGTCAATACACTCTGGTCCAACGCATTCACAGCACGCATTGTGAAACCATCTGTATTTCGATGCACCCATGGACTCGCAGGAAGCTTTACACTGATGGATCGACATGCAGTCATCAAAATAAGCCACCGTACACATGTGCTCTAAAACAAAAGGGAAATTGATTACATAGGTCAAAATGCAAGATGCAAATCTATAAACAAACCAGAATAATGTATTTTGTATAGATATTTATAATGCAGAGTTATGACCAAACGCAAGTTTAAGATTTAGAATGTGAATAATGCATCAGAATATTTAACCAGAAAGGTTATATTGAACTTTTATTAGTTTAGATGTATGTCCTGGGGCATAAATGTTTTTATTACCCAGTTGTACTTGCCTTGTTGTCCTTGGAAGAATAAAGACATTAAAAAATATATATTCAATTTTTAAAAAATTATATAGATATAGATAGAGAGATATAGAGATATATACACACACACACACACCCCTACACAAATGTTTAACGGTAAGGATCAGCTTTCACTTACCTTGGGTTTTATCAAAGTGACTGGAAATGTACTAAATGGGACTGCAACCTAAACACCAGTGCTGGAATAAAGCAGCTGAGTCACTTTTTCACCCCCCATTTTAGCATACCCAAAATTCCCCCATGGATGTTTCCTCCCCCCCCCCCAATATCAAGCTTATTGTTAAACGTTATACATAAAGTAAGTGGGGAGTGTTTTTTTTTTTTGTATAATCCAATTTTTTTTTAATTTTTTTAACAAAATCATAACAATACAGATACACAGACAATGCTCAATATTTTATTGTTTTGTTTAACATTTTGGTACACCTGTACAAGACAAGTTACGGACCACAAGGAGGACATATCCTGATAAATTAAGGAGAATGGCAAAACACCTGGAAATATTGTTGTTTTTGAAGATACTCCCACCACTTTTGGGCCTCATTGCTTTTGGAGATGGCAGAAGGATTTATCCATCTTAACCGCATCTTCATTTGGAGTTGATATAGGACTTGATTTTTTTTTTTAGTTGTAACCAGGTTATAGGGTTAGTTTCTCTCAAGTTTCTACCTGGAAAAAGCTTTGTAGCATAAAAAAAAGTGAATAATTATCATCATTGTTTCTAAGTTGGAAACTCTGTACCAATTTTTTGGGAGCAAAGCGGTTTCTGGTCTTTTTTCTAAGCTGAGTTTAGTAAATATTTTCAACTTGTCAAAGACCAGTAGGCATAAGGGTTTAATTAGAACACACTCCCACCAAATGTGCAAAAGAGAACCTTCCCTGGTTCCACACCTCCCGCATCTGTTAGAGTAGTGGGAATACATAACTGCAAGTTTTGAGGAAACTATATACCACCTATGCATAAAAGTTTGAATTTAACTTCCATGATATTCATACAATGTATCAGACTGTTGGTTAATCTGATAGATCTCAACCAGTCCTTATAATCAATAGGGATATTTAAATCTTGAGACCGTCCTATGATTACCGAGCTTGGTGTTGCTTGGTTTTCTGAAATAGTCTAAAGCATTTCGTTAAAATTTTGTGAGTGGCGTTTATCTTGAAAATGTTCTCCATTTTTTTTATTTTTTCGTAATTACTGGTGTTTAGGTGTGAATCAAGAAAACCCTTAATTCTAATGTAACTAAAAATTTCTTTAGGCGTTAAGTTGTATTTTGTATTCAGTTATGAGAAGGGTTTAATAACATCATCAACTAAAAAGTCATCAATGTTTGCGATACCCGTGAGGTGCCAATTTGTGAGGTTAATGTCTTGTAGGTTACATCGCATCACATCGATCTCCTTGAATTTTAAGATTTTATCATCAAACCCCTCTTAATTCCCTAATTCCATTCCAAGTGGCAACAAAGATTTTTTTTTTCAGTGAAGGTGACAAATCCAAAAAAATGTTTGATAAGTTATAGATTTTTGTACAGAAACTTTCAATCCTGTACCAAGGTTGCCAAAAATAAGTTTTGATTTGAGTCATAAGGATATGTTTAATTAAAGTGGAGTTATAGATATTTTTAATAATTGGGTATCCTAGTCCTGCGTTGTCTTTTTTTAGACAAAGTTGAAATAGAGGATCTTACCCTCTTTCCCAACCAGATGAATTTGGAAAAAGAAGTCTGGATTTACTGAAGCCAATGGGTTGAAACTTTAAGTGGTAGATTGTTAAATAAATATAACCATTTAGGGATAATAGAAGAGTTTATTATAGTAATTCTACCTGTCATAGAAATTTCTAGGGGTTTCCAATTTTTTAATAGTTGGTTAGTTTATTTTAAAAGAATCATGAAATTCCTTTCCATTAGTTCTTCAGCTTTTTTAGTTATTGTTAAGTAGGGAAACTCATCCACCTAGATGAAATTAAAGTGGGATTTAAGAGAATTTAAAGAAATGTAGTCTAGATTTTTTGGCATAACCGAGGACTTATCTATGTTAAGTTTGTAATTTGAAACAATGGAATAATTTTGGATAACCTCCATTAGAGTTGGCAATGAGGATATTGGGTCTGTAATTGTTATTAGTATGTCGTCAGCATATAGGCTGATCTTGTACTCCTCTTGTTTAATGGGATATCCTTTGATTAAGGCATTTGATCTTATGTGTATTGCTAATATTTGCATTGATATGATATATAACAATGGAGACAGGGGACCCCCCTGACTGGTTCCATTGTGAATATCAAACCAGTCTGCTTTTATATTTTGGTATATTGATTGTTCTTGCAGTTGGATTGGAATACAAGGCCTTTATTGCGTTAAAAAGAAAACCCTTTTCCGGGCAGAGACATTAGAGGGCGCCGATTGGCAGGACATTCGGGAGGCCACAGCCCGATCATCAATGTGTGTCACCATCCAGGAACAATCATTTAAAAGACTCTTCAGGTGGTACACCACACCATTAAAACAATTCCGCATGCAGATCACCTCCACAGATCTTTGCTGGCACGGCTGCGGGGAACAAGGCACCTATGTGCACATGTGGTGGAAGTGCCCCTTAGTACAGGCTTATTGGGTTCAAATTATCAACCTAAGCACTAACATATTGCAGAGACCACTAAAACTAGACCCCTGGGCCTGCCTCCTCTCCAGACCAACAGATGGCCTTCCACGCCCGGAGCAACAATTGTTAAATATGGTTTACTTAGCGGCCCGTAGAGCACTAGCACAGAAATGGCTGTGTCCAGAAATGCCCCCTGTGGCACTGGTCTTAGCGAAGATAAAAGATAACTACCTTATGGACAGGTTAACTTCCATGGTCAGGCACACCACCAAAAAATTTGGCAGAATATGGGATCTATGGGAACAATACCAGGAGAACACGGAGGGCGGACAAGGGAACCGAACACACACTTAGGGCTAACGACAAAAGGGCACACGACAACCCTCGTCCGAGCTGAGGAAACAGACACACCAATTCACCGTATCACAGACTACAATGTTTTGGTTAATGTAGGATTTTAGAATAACTATTATATTTTTAGTTAACAACTGTATAAAACCACACTAATTGAAGTGGCATATGTACTCAAAGCAAGACTTCACTGACAAACCACGTAGAGTTGTCTTAGCAAAACACAAGAAGACTAATTAACCGCAGACGACACTAGCAGCGTTAGTAAGCATATATCTTGTCTTAAGGTATCACTCCTCCCTGCTGT